GCTCAATTCTGTTTTCTCTTAGAAGTTCCCCAGGCAGGGAACTGCTGCTGAGACTAAAGCCCAGGGGTCAATCAATACAGCCAATGCAGCCTTGTTTCTGGGGTCAAGAAGGAGGACAGTGCTGAAGAGGTTATGCTGGGTTCTTGGGTTGGGGAGGGAGGCAGTGACAAAACTCCCCTGCCTGCTCCCAGCTATCCCAGTAGAGCTGGTTGAAGAATTGGGAGCAGGTGGGAAACAAACCTGAGGAAAGCTGGGGGGAGAGTGAGGGGCTGTTTTTCACTGGATGTTGTGTCTGGGGTGGATTTGGGTGTTTATGTGTTGCTCTCTGTCCCCACCTCAGAGGTGGTGGGACTCAGGTATGTATATGCATGTCACTGTGTGTGTGCACCAGCATTTGTGTGAGAGTCACAGAGTGTGTGTGTGTGTGTGTGCGTGCGCGCACACGCCATGGTATGTGAGCCAGTGAGAGCCATAATCTGTATGTATGTATGTGAGCAAGCTAGCGTGTGCATGTAAGCCACAGGATGTGTGTGTAAGCCACAGTGGGTGTGTGAGAGCCAGTGTGTATGTGTATGAATCAGTGTGTGAGACAGTGTGTATGAGCCAGCATGTGCATATAAGCCATGTCAATATGTGTGAGCCATTGTGCGTGTGAGCCCCAGTGTGTGAGTGTAAGCCATGTCAATGTGTGAGCTACTGTGTGAGCCACACATGTGTGAGTGAGCCATAGTGTGCATGTCAGCCACAGCAGGAGTATATGAGCCAGTGTGTGTGTATAAATTAGTGTGTGAGCCACATTGTGTGCATGTGAGCCACAGAATATGTGTATGTGAGCCACAGTGGGTGTGCATGAGGCTGTGTGTGTGTATAAATCACAGTGTGGGAGTCAGCGTGTAAGCCAGTGTGTGTGTGTGTGTGTAAGCCATGTCAATATGTGAGCCACAGTGTGTGGTAGCCACACATGTACATGTTTGTATATGTGTGTGAGAAAGCTGGCGTGCGCATGTGAGCCACAGGATGTGTGTGTGTAAGCCCCTGTGGGTGTGCATGAGACAGTTTCTGTGTATAAATTAGTGTGTGAGCCAGTGTGCATGAAAGTCATGTCAAAGTGTGAGCCACAGTGTATAAGCCACAGTGTGAGCCACATGTGTGTGGGTGCATGTGTGTGAGAGAGAGCAAGCCATAGTGTGCATGTGAGCCATAGGATGTGCGTGCAAGCCAGTGGGCATGTGCATGTATAAATCACAGTGTGTAAGGCAGTGTATGTGAGCCACAGTATGTGCATGTAAGCCGTGTCAATGTGTGTGTGTGTGTCAGTGCTCATGAGCTACAGCATGTGTAAACCAGTGTGTGAGCCACAGCAGGTGTGTCAGGATGTGTGCATGCTTGTGAGCACCGCTGTGACCCTGCAGGCACAGGGGCATCTATCTGCTCCTACCTTCGGGGGGCGGCCTGTGAGTCTGGTTGTGTGTGTGGCTACAGGGAGGTTGCCCTGGTGCCATGGCCAAGTGGGCTCCTCCTACCGGCAGGGCAGCACAGCACAGCGCCTGCACCCACTGCTGCTCTCTGCCCCACCCCACCCCGTCCGGCCACCGCTGCCCAGGGACCCAGCATGGAGGGACTGCCACCACCCAGCTCAGGTTTCCATACAGCAGTCGGGATGTTGGGGAAGAGGGGGAGTCCTGCTCTGCCCATGTGCGTCTGTGTGTCTCTCTCTGCTCTCCCCGACCCTTGCTGCTCCCTTTCAGCCCCTATAGGATCTTCTAGATCCCACCTCCAACCTCTTCAGCATCCCTGGCCCCAGCTCTGCAGCCTTCTGGCCTCTCTCACCCCTTTTGCCACTGTCCTCCCCGATCTGGCAGAGCCACCCACCCTGGAGCTCCATCCCCTTCCTGCATCGGGTGTCTCTGCCGGGGCCCAGAGCCCCCTTTCCTCCCCGCATGGGGTGTGAGTGGGGTGGGGTGGACTGAAGGTGTTGCTGTGGCATCTGATGGACAAGGAGGGGGAAGCTGGTGTGTCTGTGTCAGTTCCACCAGGTCCCTCCCTTTAGTGGCTTTTCCTCAGTCAGTGGGAGCAGAAGAAATCTGGTGAAATAAACTCGTATTTACAAGCGTGGTAAAGCACAGGAACAGGTTACCCAGAGCAGTTGTGGAATCTCCATCCTTGGAGGTTTTAAAGACCTGGTTAGACAAAGCCTTGGCTGGGATGATCTAATTGGGGCTGCTCCTGCTTGGATTAGTTGGCATCCTGAGTTCCCTTCCAACCTGAACTTTCTATGATGCTAGGAAATGAGAGCTAAGCTTATGGGCTGAGGCAGTAAAAATGTCAGCAGCTGGGTCAGTAGCAGTCTTGATGCACAAATGGAAAACTAAAAACTCTCCAGTGTGCAGCTGTGGTCACCCAGAACAGACCATGGAACATATAACGCCTCAATGCCCAATCCACAAATATGAAGGGGGCATCACAGCAATACACTCTGCTGCTCCTGACGCAATTGTCTGGCTCAGCCACCTAAACGTAAAATTATAGTTGCTGCTCTGTATCTATATCAGCCATACAAAAGAAGTAGCAGTTGGAGATGGCTAATCCAAAAGGGGCAGTTTTACTCCTTGGTTGGGAAGGGATGTCAGAGTGAGTACAAGCAAGCAGATTTTGTACCACTGGTCCAAGAATGTTTGCTGGCTCACTAGAAAGTGTTGGAGGTGTCCATTCAGCAAATGGACGTCTGAGAGTCTAGCATCTTTGGGGTTTTGTTTTGTTTTTTTATTTGGTACCTAGTGTTGGGGGAGGGGCCATCTAGTAAGGCCAGAGCCCATACCTTTGTGGAGTCCAATCTAAATGAGCTGTTGGGAAGGCAGCCCAGGGACATGTTTGTCCACCATTTCCAGTGGATTGCACTCTCTCGTCTGCCACGACTTGATGGAATGCTTAACTGTACAGGAGCTGGAATGCACAGACAGACTTTGTCCCGGTGTCTTGCTCCTAGGATCTTCTCAGGGCTCCTCCTTCCCCTCACACCCCTGCCCGTACCACACCAAAACAATGCACTGGTGGTGGACTGGATCAATGGTCTGGGCTCCCGGCTGATGATTGAACCAAATTGTCCATGTTCAAATAGGTCAGGATTGTCCAATCCAGCTCCATTCTGTATGTCCCAGCTCAGCCTAGTAGAGTCTGAATGTCCAGGACCTGCCCTGACTCCGTGTCTTTCCAGTCAACCATAGATAGCTGGTGACTGGTAGCCGCAATCCTCGACTCACTGAAACATAATTATGGGGAAGAAATACAGACAGTCCTTGACTTAAAAGTTGCAAGTGCAAAATGTTGTATAAATTGACACCATTTCAACTGTCTGACATCAGTTTCAACTTTACAACGCTTGATCTGATGCGATGCCACGCCAGTGAATAAGTTCAAGACTCCAGAAAACCCTGCAGCCAAGACTCCAGTCAAGAACCCTTCAAAAAGTCCAGCAAAGTCACCTCAAAGAAGTCCTTCCAAATCAATATGATTGCTATTTACAGTATAAATACATTAATGTTGCTATATTATGAATCTATAATTGATTGAGTACAAACTTCTCGGTTATTTTTGGTGAAAACAGGGTACTGGGCCTTGGTTCAGGAACCAATCCCCCATTTATAACATTGCTTCCTAAGGGGGGGGGGAAAAAAAAAAAAAAAAAAAAAATCGGTTTCGAGTTACAACGTTTAGACTTAAAGACACGGTTTTCAGGAACCAATTGTATCATAAGTCCAAAGACTGCCTTTAACAACAACAACCCCCCCCCCCCTAACATCCCTGGCAGGAGACAGGCAGGAAATAACACTTTGGAGTCCTTTGGCTCCCCTTTTAGTGGGCCTGTGGGTCGGGACCACCTTTAAGACTGCAACGCGAGTCCTCATGCCTCTCTTACTAGTACAGGAGAGGAATGTATAGCAAAAAGCAAACAAACAAAGAAACCCTGGAGGCCACCTGGCCCCAATTGGGCCCTAGTCTTCTTTACACCAGGCCTTGCTCCTGTGGCCTGTGCGTCTTCTCTGTCTGGGGAAACCTTCTGGGTGGTGCGAAGAAAAGAAAAACAACAAATAAACAAACATGGAAGATATCGAATTTTAGCTGCTTTCTGAAATGAAAACTTCCATAATTTTACAAGGAAACAAAGTTTACCACCTGAAACCTGACACCCTGCTCCTGCCTTTGTTTGAGGTAATTTGCATTTTCCCAGAGCAGGGAGAGACCTCTCCACAACAGGAACTCCCACCCAGTAGATCATGCCATCTTCCATCTCCCCGCTCTTCTGTGAAATATGAAACATGAGGACCAGAGGGAAATAGGCTTCTACTTCGCACCCACCACCAGACAACTTTGAGGGAAAAAAAAGAGACTGTTCCAACTTTTCCCGGAGCCTGATCTGCTCCAAGTGAACCGTTGCAAAGTCAGGTATCCAGGTAAAGCAAATTTTTGTGGCAAACATTACATGGTCTAACAGATGTCACCCCTGCCACAAGCTTTGATTCCTCTTCCAAACAGATGTTACCGCACATGCCAGTTCTCCTGTGCAATATGAATTTACTTCCCCCTGGGAGAACCTTGACAACCTTTGCACTCCCCCAGGCCCGAGGAAAGGTGCCGGTGCCAAAAATGCAAAGAAAGTCATTTTTTTTCCCCCAATATCTTTTTGTGTGTGTGTGGGCGCGCGCGCGCAAACATCTAGTTCGCCTAATAAATGTGATTGCCTCTGCCACCAGCAGATCCCTTATACCGGAACCAATACTGTGCCAACTCCCCCGCTGCAGCTGCTCCTCTCTGCCCGCCAGGAACCTGGCGCTGCCGGTGCCGACGGAACCAGGAAGTACTGCAACTTCCAGTCCTCCAGTGCTGCCGGCCCCCCGCCTCTTACCAGGCCTGACGTCTCCCTCCTCCAATGCGGAGGGAGTACCGCCGTGACGTCACTGGGGCGCGACGCAGGCCCTCCGCGCCGCCCGTCCGGGGTAAGTCGTTCTCCCCGGGAGGGGGTGTATCCTGCTTGGGTGCACTGGCAGGGTCGGGACAGGCGGCAGAGAGGGCAAGAAGCAGCAGGCAGAGCGGCAGAAAGCAGAGCAGCAGATTGAAGGCATCAACCCGTGGCAGAGGTGATATCTGTTATGAGACCAATTAGGTATTTGCATTATAATTAAAAAAACATTTTTTTTTTTGCAAGCGCCTGGTTGGTCTCCTAAAAGAGATCACTTCTGCCACGAGTTCTGGATCTTTTTGCCTCTGGACCAGTCGGGCTACCGCCTGGATACCTGAGAAGCAGCTTGGGCAGAGGAAGTGGACAGGAGTAGCGCTTCCTACAGGGGAGGGTGTGGGGCTCATTTTATGCCCGCCCAAATTTTGGCCCCCACTGATAGCGTTGAACCTCCTGTTCAAGGCAGCATCCTCCCTCTTGTCCCCGTCCAAGTCCTGCTACAAGTACAGGGTTTTTATCAAGCCCTTGTGTGACTTTAATAACTTGGGATGTACGCATGAGAGAGGCAAACTGTAAACGGCAAGTGAAAGCCTAACGCGTTCAGTTTTAACACAACACAGCTCAAATGTCTAGACATCAACATAACCGCTATCTTTCGCAAAACAGTGTTCAATTCAATTGTCCAACTTGTCCAAAACATTTTCCAGTTGAAATGAAAACATTTGCCGAGTGATTTCATGAGTTGAATTTGTGATCCTTACCCTATGCAAAGCTTACACTATGCTAAAAAAATGTAATGAATTATGCTTAAGCTATGCATAGGATAAGGATCACAAATGCAGTTCATGAAATCAGCAGCTGGCAAATGTTTTCTATGAGTTGGACAATTGGATTATTTAATAATACAAATTTACTGCTACTACTGAATTGCCTTTCAGGAGATTTAATGATATCGTTAAAAAAACCTTCCTTTTAAGAACAAAAATGCATATTTATCTTCTATAAAGACAGCTTGAGTTAAGATAGGATTTAATGCAGGAACCTGTCTAATGGATAAAGTAACTTTTCACTAATCAATGACAGCATATAAAATTTGCTGGTTGCTTGATAAGAAAATGAAGTAGTCCCATGTTTGATCATTTTGGGGGTGGAGGGTGTCATCATTCTTATGTAAAGTGAAGCCATGCTATTGTGATAATTTATAGTTTCATATTTGGTAGGGTCAGAAGGGACCTGAGCAGATCATCACGTCCGAACCCCTGCCGTGGGTAGGAAAGAGTACTGGGGTCAAACGACCCCGGCTAGGTGATTATCTAGTCTCCTTTTGAAGACCCCCAGGGTAGAAGCGAGCACCACTTCCCTTGGAAGTTGGTTCCAGATCCTAGCTGCCCTGACTGTGAAGTAGCACCTCCTGATGTCTAGTCTGAATAGCTAGATTTGAATAGCATTCTTCTCTTATGAATTGTCATGCCTTTTTTTTTCCAGGTTTCCCATTTTTTAGCATTCTGTCACTCTAGGTTTAGTTTTGTCTTTGAATGTTGCATCAATTAAAGTGTCACTGCCAGCCACGATGATTTGGCACTTGTTTGTTAGCTAAATAATGGTAAATCCAAACTGCTTGGGACCTGCTTTGTTTTACAGCATCTTTCGTTCCTGATTGGACTCTGGGGCACAAGTTAATAATAAATATACTGAAGGCCTGATCCTGAAATGTCTGAGCTGTGAAGAGTCCCAAATATTTGTGTGAACAGTTTGGTATTGGGCATTAAGAGAGATATCTAAGCAGTAGTACAAACAGTTTCTATCTGATTTTAAATATATGCTTTGGTCAAACACAGTAAGCACTGAACAAGTCCTTTACTGATCTAGTCCTGCTTTTGGGTACTCAGCTGGCTCTGATTCTGCAAAGACCTACACATGCACCTTAAGTCAGCAGTGGATTTGTTTGTGTTTCAAGTAAAGTTAAATGTGTCAAAGAAATGAAGGAGCATAGCTGCAGCTGGAATTCTACTCTGATAGTTGCTGCTGACCGTGTTAGATGGAGTATGCCTCTCAATGCCCTCCTGGCATGGAGAAGATTAACATATTTTTAACCTTTGCAAGGTAGGGGCCCTTCTGTATATTTGTGAATGCTTTGTTTCTCATCCTGCTTAAGTACCACATGTAGCAGCTTGATGTAATTGGACCGGCTCAGTATGTGTGCCATTCATTTGTGTCCTATTCAGCAACATGCCATCTCTTAACGTTTTTCTTATGTTTGCGGGCTAATGATGAGGATTGTCTTTCCTGCTCCAGGTTTAGTATTTTGCAAACTAATTAGCCGAGTAAAAAATTGAGTTTAGTTGTGGTACAAATTGTCAGTGTGTCTGCTGTGTGCTGTACAGGCTGTTTGTTTATTTATTCATTCATCTAAAAGCAGGTTTAACCTATTTTTTTCAGTCTGGAATGACAGGGGCAAGGTTTTGGTTGATGCAGTACATCAGAACAACATGAGTATCGTACTAAAATATGCACTAGACTTGAACAACCTCCATTCATCCACCTGTTGCTCCTTCATAGCTTAGTGCAACTGTGGCTGAGATTGGCTTGGCCGAATAACATCCTGGATGTCTTATAAATTCAAGTAGGTTTTTTTGTGGCAAAGGCATTTATTTCCATTACAGACAAAGGCATTTAATTTCCATTGATTTTCAAAGGAAGTTCACTCTAAAGCAATAAGAACACATTGTTAGATGTAAACTGTTAAACATTTTCCATTTTTTTCCCCTCCAGAATGAATCATGGCTGAAGACTCTCAGAGAAATTTCCGTTCAGTCTATTATGAAAAAGTGGGGTTTCGTGGCGTTGAAGAGAAAAAATCGTTAGAAATCTTGCTGAAAGATGACCGCCTGGGTAAAGTGATCTGACTCTTGTACTTTCTGGGTATAAGTTTTGTAAAAAAACAAGCACTTTCACTGAAGTCAATGGTAGATGTTGTGCTCAACATCTCTGATTTTTCCAGGCAATTTTTCATCAATCTCCATATCATTTACCATGGAGCTTGCAGAATCTAGAGTTGCATCCAGACATTACCAAGATAGTGGTTCTCAAACTACCATGTACAGTACACACCTTTTCCTAAAATTCAGCTGCTGGGAATTGGGGTGTGCATTATAATCAAGGAAATACTTTTATGGCAGTTTTTGTGGCTTAAGAGTCTGCCAGGTGAACGTGAAAGTCTGGCTAAAAACAGACATCATTTTTTGTTGCGGTATCAGCTGTTGCGGCATCACAGCTGGTCCATTTTGTTGGGCGACAAAGACGTTGCCTGTCATTCTGAAGGGTCTGGATCTTGCCGCTTCCAGAGTTTCGAGGGCCTAATCATGCAGGACAGTTGTAAATGGAGGTACTCTGGGGCATGGTAGTGCAATACCTGTGTCCGGGAAATCTCTTGATGGGGGATTCCCAGGATGTGCCTCTGCAAGCAGGGAACCTGGGCAGGATACTGTGTGTCCTGGGAATACCCCTCTAAAGGAATTCCCGGCGTGTGCAGGATTGGGCCACTGAAGCCCTGGGAGCTCCTACCTGGGATGGAAGGAGAGTGCAGACACCTCCCCTACCATAAAGCCAAACAGATGTCCGTAATGGGCATGGAGGTCTGTTTGCTTACGCTTTATGCTACCATAAATTTGTTGCAACTTCTGTTTTCAGCCCAAAAGTGCACGTGCTACAGCTGGTTATGGATACTTTCTCTTTCCTCCCCTAGAGGCTATCAAAGAAGGATCTGTTTTTATTAATTTTGCCTTTCAAAAACAATGTATTTTATTCAGGGGTGTGTGCGCCAGAAAAAAACAGTATATCGTTCATGGACCACTGCTTGGCTGTGACGTCATAGTAAGTAGTTTGTAGCTGGTTCCGGATTGTATCAGGCCCTGTGTACCCTGATAACATTTTCAGTTGTAAGCTGGTGACAGTAATATATGTTGGGTCTATGAGAAATTTTGAGAGTTTGACTTAAAAAAACCAAAACATTTTGGAACCATTGCACTGGAGAATATTTTAAATTGGATAGTACTGGTTGGTTACTAAAGGTGCATCTGAGAGGCTTTAAAAAACAGTTGCTATTTTACTTTAGAACCTCTTGTTTATTTCTTTTTTCTTCTCTCATTCTTTGTGCCCAAGAAGCTGAGAGTGTTTTTTTTATGAAGGTAATTTTTCCTTAAGAATTGATTGTTTCCTTCTCCTAATTCTTTCTCTTCTCAAAATCACAATGTGTTGTGATACGATAATGATGATTATTTCTGTTCATCCTATGTGTGTGCTAAGCCTGTAACAGAACAGAAAGATTACTGTGTGGTTTTTTTTACACCAAAAAGCTTCTTTGTAATTAATTTTAAGGCAAAGAGAGATTTTTTTTTACTTCAGGCCTAAAATGTCACAATCTTTTCTTGTTGAAATCTAGTAGATTTGTAGTTTAATTATAAATCAAACTAAGAAGTTTTCAAGGAACTGTAATAGCAATTTTTATAGCACTTCCAACTATTCTTAACTGCAAGTCAGTAATTTGTATCAATATTGTGTTGTCCTTTGTAAGTGCGATTTGCGGACAGCTATCAGCACCTAAAGAATTGTCCTTTTCCTGTGAATCAATGCCCTAGAATTCTTGGTGTAAATTACTACGAGTCCTGATTGCCTCTGGTGTAAATTTTAAGATTTAGAAAGAGTTTTGAAATATGTTAGCTTTTTTTCTTTACAGATATTGAGAAGCTCTGCACCTTTAGTCAAAGATTTCCTCTTCCGTCCATGTATCGGATCCTGGTGTGGAAGGTACTTTTAGGTATGGCATATAAAGACTACAGTCATATGTATACTAATTGGAATATGCCTGGGGTGTATTTGTTGATTGTTAGGGGCATAGCAGTATATTGGTATACTGTCTTTAATAACCACTGCTACCAATTTTTGGTCTACTTTTGTATATAGTTAAGTTCCACATATCCAATACTTAATGTGCTTGAGTGAGTTGTTGATTACTTGACTTAAGTATTTTATGCATGCATTTTGGAACATTTCATACATACAGATTTGTAAAAATGAAATGAACTCCTCTATTATTGTAATGGACATGAATATAATTAGTGTGTATATATTTGAATGTGGAACAGAAATAGCTGCCATCTGGGAAAGTTTTCAGTTTTATTCTTTTAAAAAAAGATGCTGTAGTTGTATAATCAAAAGTGTAAAGAAGCTGTAAAAAAGTGAAGCTGTATAATCAAAACTGATTTAAGAAGATGGTGGTTAGTGTTGAACTGGCTATTTAATAGAATCTGGCCAGAGTGAGAGACTCCCTTTTAAAGTTTCATGATGAGATTTAGCTCTGATTATGCTTCTTGTGATGGGTAACATTTGTCACCGAAGGGAAGAATAAAATAAGGTATGTCCAGAAACCATAAATCCACCGAATTCTACTTTCCCTGTAGTTAGAGTCAAATGACTAATTGAAAAAGTAATAATGGCCTTTTGGAACCACTTCTTGAGTTTACCAGATTTATAAAAGCATGAGCTAATTTAATGGGGGATGCAGGACCCAAGAATAATGATAATTTTTAGTACATGAATGGCATCCCTGGAATGCTTTTAAAATATTCATTGCCTTTAAAGGAATACTGCCAGTTCAAACATAAAAAATAATTCTTACCTAAGTCTCTAATAATGCTCTAGATAATTAAAAATTATAGTTTAAAAAAAAAATTATGATTTGAAGGAGATGATAGTATGCTCTTTTGTTTCTCGAACAGCAAAAGTAGAATTGTAAATATCAGTGCTCCATCTATTCAGTTTCACTTCCTGATTTATATGCATTGACACTTGGTGTGGGTTGCAAATAATGTAACAAGAATGTTTAAAGTCCATGTAAAAGTCAAACCGCTTTTATTTTGAATAGATTAAAAAAATGATTTAAAACATTCATGAATGTGTGTAAACATTTAACTTAGGTTTAGTAAACACATTTTGGTGCAAGATCCTAACAGTTGTTTCTGAACTTCCTAAATTTTCTCTTTAGTAAACTGATTATACATAATGAAAGCCCAAATAACACCAGGGCTAAGCTTTGGAAAATAAAGAATTCTGAAACCCAGTTTCTTAATGTAGTGGAGATTAATCCTTAACTAATATAATGTTAACAACCAGTTTGGTAGATCTCTGACCCAAAAAGAGAACTTTGTGGAGAAGTTTCTGTACAAAGTTGTAATTCAGTTTTGAATCAACAGCATTTATTGACTGCCTTAGACACGGTGATTTGTGAACTTTGACACAATTAAATATTTGTTAGGTTGGCTCTTTCCATGTTCCTTTGCATGCTGTGTCATAAAGTCTGATTCTGAATGCATAGAGAATGTGAGAAACTTGTTTACCAATTGCATTTTAGGATCTTAGTCTGGAAACTTGGGGTCGGACTTGATGATATATTGAGGTCCCTTCCGACCCTAACATCTATGAATCTATGAACTTAAAAAATGTAAACTTATTTTGAATGAACAACCCAGAATAGGGGAAGGCACCAGTCTGTCATTCAGTGTTTACTTTGAGTATGCTGAGACATAAGACATAGTTGCATACAAAGAAAATTGCTTATAATATATCCTTGAGGATTTTACTTTTATCTTATTGTCAACATTCATGAGAAAAATGGGTGTTTACAAGACATCTCTGGTTTGGTGATTTGAACAACAGCTCTGTCTATTGCTGGAGGGAAACATTATGTCTCCTGTAAATAGTTTTAATATGGCTTTCAGTGGATTTAATCTAAAATTAGATTTGAAATGTAACGAGCCTGATGCCTTCCCTGGTTATATGGTATGCTGAATATGCCCTTCTTGAGTCAAGTAGGACTCACCATAGCTAAGTGGAGTGCAGGTTGTGATAAAATGATTTATAGACTTCCTTGCATTATTTGACTCTGTCCTGGCTAGGGTCAGTGTGCTAATTTTCTGGATTTAGCATATTGGTCTTAGCAGCATATACTTGCTTAATTATGATGTTAACACTATTTTTGCTTCAAATTGAAAGTCAAGTTCCAGCTCTTAGAATACAGTTAGGTTTGTTCTAGCTATATGAAGGGAAATCTCTTTCTCTTGCTTTTGAAACTCAACCCCAGCAATTTCCTGGGTTAACACTTAGGAACAATGTACTCCTTTAAAGGAGTGATGAAAGCAGCAGGTAACCTGACTTAAAGCTGATATTAAAGAATGTCTCTTTCTGATTTGACTATAAAAGGACTATATCTGCTTTCCTAGTGATACAAAAGTGCCATGTCACTTTTGGCATCTTGAGAATCTTTCTTCTCTTGAAGTCAGAGGCAGGTTTGCTGTATACTTATTAAATGGTGTTAAGTAAGGTGCAGTCGTTAAGGGGAAAGAAAGGCCTGAACGGACAGACCACTAGGACAGTGGTGCTCAATCTTTTGGCTCTGTGGACCAGATGAATGGGGCCCATCTTGGGGCGAGATGGGGATGTCTGCAGGCCAGATCAGGGCTGGGTCCTGGCACCATCCCCTCCTAGCCCCTGTGCACCAAGTTTGGGTCCTGGGGGTGTGGCACTGCTCTCTCTTGCCCCCTGCCCCTCCCCCCATGTGCTGGGATTAGGTCCTAGGTGGCTGGCACTACCCCTTTCTGCCCCCCAGCATGCTGGGATTAGTCCCAGGGGGCTGGCACTGTCCCCTTCTGCACCTGTCATACCAGGATTGGGTCCTGGGAAGCTGGCACTGCTTTCTCCTGTCCCCCTCACACTGAGATTGGGGCCTGGGACCCATACATGCTGGGAACAGGTGCTGGGCCCAGCACACAGAGCCTGGGGCTCCCCATGGGTCCAGAGATTTGGCAGCAGGGCAGCGGTGCTCTCCTACCACTAAATTTCTAGACCTGTGGGAAGCCCCATAGGCTGGATGACACTGCTGTGGGCCAGAAGTTGAGCACCCCTGCACTAGGGGAGTTGTATATCAAGCATCAGTTGCAGATGTCATAAATAGCTATTATTTGGGGGGGGGGGATGGGGGAACACAATTGATCCATTATAGTATTGTGGTGTGATTAACTGTAGCCTTACAAATTGGTTTGGTTGTAACCATATTGAATCAACCTCTGCTATTGCAATTTTCTTGAACCATTGATTCAGAAGAGGATTAATCTCAGGAGTAAGTCTGTAGAAAAGAGGGGTAAGTCTGTAGAAAAAGCTTCAGTGTGGACTTGAGAGTAAATTGAAGAATAAGAAAGGTAAGTGCAGTACCTTTGCATTACTTGCATGTGCACATGTAGCCCTGGTAATCTAGGAGGAACTGTGGAATTTGGAAAAGGAATTAGTTCTGGTTTTGTACCTCCTCTCTCAAATTTATAGCAGGGCAAAGTTTTTGTCTCTGTAGCCTGATCATGCTTTTGGTAAAATGTTTGTATAGGAAATGCTCTAGTATAAAATGAGACCTCACTCCTGTTTTTCTGTGGAGCCGTGAATGCCTTTTTCAGTACAGAATACCATATTTAAAAAGTAATCAGATACAGATTTTTTAATATATTCACTTTTTTGATCAATATTAAGGGGAAGTTAAGTACAAATACACATACAAGTAATGCAGCATTAACAAAGGTACAGATAAATATAAACTAGTGGCAATTAAAAAGATTAATTAAATGAGGTAACAATAAGGTAATTCAAAATAAAAAATAATTTCCCCGTCTTCCAAACATGGGGACCTCTTATTTATCCATTGACCACCAGTAACCTGATGGGCAAAATATGTTCCACCCTCCTGTAAGGGGACTTAAAAGCAAAGATCATGCTCCTGCAGTCAGTCAATGCATTACCTTCTTTTGATAAGTATATTCCTGTTTGCTTGTCCTGTGTATTTCCACTTTATAGTTTTCTATTTTGTGTCCTTCAACCAACCAACTACAGAGCCAGGATCTAAATTCTTTGTAGGCTAAACATTAGTATGAATGGAGCTAAGTTTAGTCTTTTGAGAAGGGGATTCTCTGTTCTGATTTCTTCCTCTTTTTATCTCTTTTAGGGATTATTCCTCCTCATCATGAATCTCATGTCCTGGTGATGATGTACCGAAAGGAACAATATATGGACGTGTATCATGCCCTCCAAGTAATTCGCTTCATCAGTGATTCTACCCCACAGGTGGAAGTTTTCCTTCGCATACATCAACTAGAAGCAGGAAAGTTGCCTCGAAATCCAGCATTTCCTCTGGTCAGTTGCTTCCTTTGGCTTCAACAATATTCTTTTACAGTAAAAGGAACCCTTGAACTGAAGCCATGAAAACAAATCATAGCATGGAAGATGCGCGCTGATAAATAAATTTAAATGAATATAGAAAAGAAGAATATGGAAGTTATGTACCAGGGGTTAATGAAACTGTGCATTAGTTCTTCTTCGTCAAATATATGTATAAGCTTTTATGCCTTAAAATCTTTTCTGTATGCTTTCTTTTTTTTTCCTCTGGGCTAATAGCCTTTTATATTTGCTCTTCCTTCTTCCCCCTCCTGGCATTTACTCTCTATCTACAGTACCTTAGTAACAATAATGACATAAGGACCTATTTGCTGCAGTAAGATCAGATGTCCTCTGTCATAGGTCAGAGGTAATAAAAGCAGTGTCCTAAATAATTTGTTTTTTTAATCCAGAATGAAGGTTACCAATCTGGCATTTTTGTTAATTTGAGCTGTTTGTTGGATTTTATTCAAGCGCACAAGTGTGGTGCATTAACTGCATTGCAGTCACAGCAGTGATGGTAATCTAGACTTATCCACAGTTTGGTGACATGAAAGCGTACTATTTAATTGAAAAGAGAAGAGTACATGTTTCATGTCCATGTGCCTACAAGGGAGTGCTTGACCATTAATGTTGGAAGTCCTGCTGTCTC